AAGTGCTCATTCTTCACTTGTCTCACCTGTTCTGAGTTCTCCAAATTACGGGATGAGAAGGATGGGGGAAGAAAAAAGAGAATTACACACTGTCATGACTTCAGTCCTCAGCAGTTGGATATTACCCCAAGTTTCTACAGGTAAGTGACTAAGTTCATTTCTTTGGGCATCTTCTCCAGAGGACAACACTGGAACCATGCACTACATATTGGACCATGGCATTTTATATGTCTTTGATTTCTCCTTTTCTTACTCTGACAATAATGCTGTATTGTTGTCAACAGATTTAGGTTATTAAATCAAAAATTTCACTTAACTGTGCTGATGTTGAAATTGTTGAACAAGGACCGAGTTAACGCGCTATTGAGGTTTTGAAGGTAGATTTCTTTCAAATAGCTATTGGTTGATAGTAGCATTCTTGATGTTATAATGCTTTATGTTTCTGTCAGAGTATTTCCTTGAAAGTGATGGATGCCTTGGATAATCGACCCATCTTTGTAAGACTAAAGGGGCCGGTAAAATTGTTTTCAAGTTCAAATACAGCTTATGGTTTTGTTATAGTTTGAATCTTTGGCTGACGGGACTAGACAGTGAAGGTTGTCTGCAATGTTAAATGTCAATTTAGTGCATAATATCTTATTTGGGATCAACCTTTCTCTGTGCAGAATTAATGAGAGGTTCTTCGGCCAAAGCTCGTGTACTCTACGCTCCAGTGGAAGAAATGGTGATGATGGTCGACTTCTCTTGCATGTCGTATCGTCATTTCTAATTGTCAATATCATTGTCTCTCTACTTTTTCTGCTACACTTGGAAACACAGTGGAAAAATAGAGTACATATTGTCTAGTTTTATCAATTTTTTGTCATATTTATTAATTCAGTGGAGTCTTTCGAATTCCTGAACCTTCTTAGAAGTCATCATTGATGCATTTAATGAAGCTGGACTTGTGCTTGAGAAAGATGCTACACAGAGTTGAAGGTACAATATAGGACCATTCAAGTATTTGCTTTGTATTTTTTTATGTTTGTTAAGTCTCTTCTTGTTCTTGTTCTTTTCTATTTTATTTATTTCTTTCTTTTTCAAACTTCAACAATGATACTGCTGCTTAATTTGAACTCTGTTAGTTGCCCAGTACACAGCCATGTTACCTAACTATCTGTGTATTTGTGTTGTTCATTTATCTTCACTAAAAAATATTATACTAACAGTTGGTTGTTTCCCGCAAATTGCAGTTGCATGCCACTGTGATGAATGCAAGGCATCGGAAAAGGTGCCGTTTCTTTTTGTCTCTTTGTTATTCCATGGCTTATAAACCCTTTGGTTTTTCTTTATTTTCTTAGCTCTTATTCTGACTGATGTATGAAACTAAACTGGATTGTACAGCAAGAGTAGGACAAGAAAGCTTGTTCATTTGATGCACGAGGATTTTCAAGCAATATGGATCTGAGAATGGAGAGAGTATATTATCCCCGAAGCTCATCTTCACAGAGATTTGTATTTGATGAAAGTGGCTATATCATTGCTGTGCTTCAATACCTTTTCCTGAAAACACGAAAGCAAACTGATCCATTTAGTTGAAGATTAACAACTTAGTTCCGCTTTGAGAAGAAACACTGGCCGCTAGTGTTATATAAGATCGTTCTCTTGTGATGAAGCCTACTAGCGTATTTTCGGCTTTTGCTGCCAAATTTCTAATTTTTCCTCTTTTTTAGGTTCCCGAAATAAGTTTTGCTGCTATAATTCTTAGATACTGATGATCTTGAGTATCTATTAGTAAAGTAAATACTTGTAACAGTTGAAAGTGCATGGTTAATGGATAGATTTTAAACTTTCATGGTGAAATCAATTTCTTGCTTTGCGAAAATTGGCTGCATCTGGTGTTGAAGTACTTTGTTGTTACATAGATTGTGAACTTGAAATTATGTATAAGCTTGTACATTTTATTTCTTTCATAGTCTTGCATCCCATTAGAGGAGAATTTTCCCATTGCCTAGAGAATTGATATAGATTATAGAACAGTGTCGATGGTTTACAAGATCTTTGCATTTTTCTTCAGAGGATCATATTATAACAGTAATAACATAACGTCAATAGACTAATAAGTAAAACATTAGGATCTTCTTTTGATTGAGTTGTTTTCGACTTCTAATGATCTTAAAAATGAGGATATTGACACTTAGAGACAAACCTTATATTCCTCGACGAGTGGTCTAACCGGTGTTCTTAAACTCGACCTAGGGTGTCACCTGGCCAAGGGGTTGGTCTCAGATTGACTAGTTCGATCAGTTAAACTGGCGGTCTCTGGTGATCCAAAAGTTTGAAATCTTGCAAACACACCCCTGAAAACTCTACATCAGTTCTATAGGTTTGCAATCTTGCAAATACACTCTTGCGATCTGTTTAGGTTTTGATTTTTCCGACCAAAATTACCCGACCCATCACCTAAACCATCGTTCTCTACTCTATAAAACTCTTCTAACCCCAGAACTTGTAGCCTCTCGTTTGCTAGTTGTGACTAGCAATACTTTCGCGATTTGATTGATTTTTTTGGCAAAACTTCGGTTGATTTTGGCGTCCAAAATTCATCCGATACCATCACCTAACCATCGGCCTTGCTCTACAAAACCCATCTAACCCCAGCACTTGTAGCCCCTCGTTTGCCGATCGTGACTCGAATATTGTGTGATTTTTTGGCCAATTTCAATTGATTCCGGTGTCCAAAATTCAATCCACATCACCACTTGAATCATGGCCTCCACTCTACAAAATCTCTCTAACCTTGACACTTGGTAGCTCCCCATCGCCGACCGTGACTCACATATGGTTGATTTTTCGACTAAACTCTAGCTAATTCCAACATCTAATTCAATCTAACCACCCCTTCAACCACCGACCTTTATCTTCTATAACCTCTAACCCTGATACTTAGTAACCCTCATTCCAGCGGCGGTCAAGTTAGGGATTTTATGAACAGTTAAAAATGGTAACCTAGACTGAAGAGGACTCAATCGCTTTGTGATTCTCCAATTGGCCAATCTAGTCTACTTTTTAGAACACTGGTCCAACCCTGAAATTTTTTTTTAATGGAGCTTTAGCTGTAGTTGATTGCGACAACCCAAAAAAAAAAAAAAAAAGGGTGCATTGATCCGTCTAAATTATCGGAGTAATGAGTTTATTTACCCTAGAAAGCTCATATATGAGCTCATATTCAACTCTCTTTCGGCTCAACCCCACAAAAATGAGAGGAAACTGGAAAGTTAGGGAGAATTTTCTTCTCTCAGATGAGACAACTTTTTTTAACAAAGTGAATTGTGTTTCACATGTCTAAATTCAACCACTACAATTATATTAAACTACAGTTATAAATATTATTTCCAAAATGTTGCCAACCAACCAATGCCTTAAGCAAAAGCTATGATCAGTCACTCTCAAGCTCAACAATGGACGTATCAAGCTCAGCAATGGAAGTACCATGATGAACCTGGACCTTAGATTATTAAACAAACTGGTCCAGTTATACATCTTGCTTTCTGATTTATAAAACATAGAAATGTCATTGTTCTTGTTCTGGGAGACAAAATGAATGGCAGCAAAAACAATTAATTATTTGCAACAACCCCAGATAACTATGTGGAACAATGATGTTAAATCATACCAGTGATCAAAAACACCTTTCACTCTTTTAGCACAGACACTTCTCACCTAATTTCAGAGATTTAATTACCCAGAAAAGCAAAGGTGATATGATTGTAGTAGTTTATGGTCATTTAGAAGAGAAGAGGCAAAACCAAGTTAGGTAAATGTGAAATGCTTCTCAACAGTGAGACTTTAATTGAAGATTGAAATGTACCAGTTTGCAATTCCATGTGGTAAGTAGTCGCCACTGCATCATATGTCAATGGCAGATTATATAGTCTTTGAGTTATCCATTTTGCATTACTCAAGATTTCAACGATAATAATCATGAATCAGTGTTTCAGGGTTGGGATTTTTTTCACTGGGGCAAAGAAATTTATCAAAAATGGCTATAATGCATTGTGGTCTACAAGATAGAGAATAGCAGAATGTGATCAACTGGAGAAGAGAAGAGGATTTGCAGTAATGCTTTTCATTTCTGTTATCTGTATGATCTCTGTTTTGATTTTTCATCTAAGCTGTTTCAATTTTTCTGGAGATAATGTCTTGCAAAATCTGTTTTCTGACTATTCAAAGCAGTTAAAACAAAGAACTTTTCCATAACTGAACTCTGAAGCTTTAAATGTTAAATTTCCGCCATTGGTTGTCTCTTAAGGTTGGATGGATCCGATCAATTATGCAGCACGCGTGTTTTAGTTTTGATGCAGTGAACCAAGTATGACAAATGGAGAATGGTTTCTGGAAGTTAAGAAAAGCAATCAAACTGAATCTGTTTCAAAGATCAAATTGGCTATTATCCTTGGTAAGTCCTCTCTATACTTTCTTCATTTACATATGTCCAATCAAAAATTATGTCACAGAAAATATTGGCTGGTCATGTTTGTTTTTTCTTTATATGCAGAATTGATTTGCTATTAATGCTAATTATGCTGACAATATACAGCTTTGTTACTTATCAGCAGATAAAATATACCTGAAGACAGAACTACGAAGAACCGATTTTTCTTGCAACAAACAGAAAATATTTCCGATGAAACAAGTGCCTAATGTTTTGTTTCCACATTTGCTTGGTGAGCTTCTATACGTTTCTATTTCCTTCTTGCTCTTGTCTGTCTTGAAGAATTAAGTTTTTATCGATAATAGGCATTGTTCTATGCAGATATTATTGCTTTTTAGCCAAGGTTGCTAAAAAGAAGTTGTGACCAGCGAAAGGATTTATTAGTTATTCAGAATTTTCTCCATTATTGTCGACTTTTATCCTGTAAGTAATATTTTCTTCTTAATGTCAAAATTTGTATCATATTGGTTGAATTTTAAAGCAAGATGACACACTGTTACCCCCTCTTTTTTCTGGTACTGAAAGGATGCAGGAGAATTAAACAATAAATCTTCATGGATTGGAACTCTGAGTGCAATTTGTAATTGTATTGCAGAGCGTGGTCTTGGTCAACCCTCAAAATCAATCTTGTTATCTCCAAGAATATCCTGTGATACAACCTGCACAATGGATAAAATCCATTTCTATTTCTCTTCTAGCGGAATTCGGACACAACTCTAATGTGTTCTAAACAGATTCTGCGTCAACAAAAAACATTCGTCAGCTCCGTCATTCATTTGTTCCATCAAACAAGATGCCCTTGTCCGCAGGCTATGGAATATGCACATTCATCTACAAGGTTAACCATGGATTAGTCTCTAAGAGCAGAATTACAACCCTTGGCTTTCCCTTGACGACAAGCTTTCATTCATGCAATGGAATTTAGAGCTTCTTGTGTTCCAATCATGTCAGGATTCAACTCAACCATATCCTTCACCATTTGAAGTGAGATTGTAAGTAATAGTGTATTTCATTGATAATCAGTTAAATTTGTTGGCAATTGCCTCTAAAAGCCTTGGATGCCATTTCCTTTGTATTCAATTCTCTGATGGTCAAGATAGTTTTCAATTAAGTTCAAACAATTAGTTAATGCAGCATATTGTTTCAGTAAACTAGATTTTGCCTTCTCCAGAGGACAATTCTGAAACCAGGTAATATAATGGTTGATTTGTTTATACTTTCTATGTCTTCAGATGTCAATACTAATAATCATGAGTTAATATTACAGGGGTAGATTCATTCTTTGAATTCATTAGACACAGCTCATCACTCAATTATTATTGTTAAAGCATGGAGCTTTCTTCAAAAGTAAGCTGGTTTTTTTTTTTATCACAATCATTATCAATGTTTTGTATCATTTCAAATGAAATTGATAGTTAAGTAAAATTAGTTGTTGAAATCGCCTTCAATGATTTGTAGCTTACAAGAGAGAATACCAGCTGCAGCTGAAACGGGAAGGTTTGCTGTAACATTTCTCTTTTTTTTTTTTTAACTGTCTCGGTTTTGGTCTGCCTTCTTTTTAAGGTCTCTGTTTTATATTATTATATGTTTGGTGATAATATGACCATCAAACAGTTGGGTTCTAGAAGACTGGTGTTAAAAGGAGACAGGACAGGACTGAGGACTCTAATGGTTTGTCTCGTGCCCCAAAAATTAAACTGGTTAGATTAATTATGGCTAATCACTAGTTCTATTCTTTCTTGGTATCTTGATGTTCAATTTGAAAGCAACGTTGGGTGACTGGTTAAACTGTTTTCCTTCTTAAAATGCAGGACAGATGTATGGTTAATACTGAGAATTTATAGTTCTCTTACGAGTTTACTTTTTTTGGGGAAATTTGAAAAATGTGAGTGATGCAGATACTGCCCCAAAAATTGAATATGTATCTGATATGTTGGCACCTGAAATGAGAAACCATGTGATTGGCCATATTTTTGTTTTGGTGCATGTGAAGGATCAAGGAAATACAATATACCAGATGAAACAAGTGCTCATTCTTCACTTGTCTCACCTGTCTGAGTTCTCCAAATTACGGGATGAGAAGGATGGGGGAAGAAAAAGAAGAATTACAACATGTCATGACTTCAGTCCTCAGCAGTTGGATATTACCCCAAGTTTCTACAGGGTAAGTGACTAAGTTCATTTCTTTGGGCATCTTCTCCAGAGGACAACACTGGAACCATGCAACTAACATATTGGACCATGGCATTTTATATAGTCTTTGATTCTCCTTTTTCTTACTCTGACAATAATGCTGTATTGTTGTCAACAGATTTAGGTTTATTAAATCAAAAACCTTTCACTTAACTGTGCTGATGTTGAAATTGTTGAACAAGGACCGAGTTAACGCAGCTATTGAGGTTTTGAAGGTAGATTTCTTTTCAAATAGCTATTGGTTGATAGTAGCATTCTTGATGTTATAATGCTTTATGTTTCTGTCAGAGTATTTCCTTGAAAGTGATGGATGCCTTGGATAATCGACCCATCTTTGTAAGACTAAAGGGGCCGGTAAAATTGTTTTCAAGTTCAAATACAGCTTATGGTTTTGTTATTGAGTTTGAATCTTTGAGCTGACGGGACATAGACAGGTGAAGGTTGTCTGCTAATGTTTAAATGTCAATTTAGTGCATAATATCTTATTTGGGATCAACCTTTCTCTGTGCAGGAATTAATGAGAGGTTCTTCGGCCAAAGCTCGTGTACTCTACGCTCCAGTGGAAGAAATGGTGATGATGGTCGACTTCTCTGTGCATGTCGTATCGTCATTTCTTAATTGTCAATATCATTGTCTTCTACTTTTTCTGCTACACTTGGAAACACAGTGGAAAAATAGAGTACAATATTGTCTAGTTTTATCAATTTTTTGTCATATTTATTAATTCAGTGGAGTCTTTCGAATTTCCTGAACCTTCTTAGAAGTCATCATTGATGCATTTAATGAAGCTGGACTTGTGCTTGAGAAAGATGCTACACAGAAGTTGAAGGTACAATATAGGACCATTCAAGTATTTGCTTTTGTAATTTTATGTTTTGTTAAGTCTCTTCTTGTTCTTGTTCTTTTCTATTTTATTTTATTTCTTTCTTTTTCAAACTTCAACAATGATATCTGCTGCTTAATTTGAACTCTGTTAGTTGCCCAGTACACAGCCATGTTACCTAACTATCTGTGTATTTGTGTTGTTCATTTATCTTCACTAAAAAATATTATTACTAACAGTTGGTTGTTTCCGCAAATTGCAGTTGCATGCCACTGTGATGAATGCAAGGCATCGGAAAAGGTGCCCGTTTCTTTTGCTTCTCTTTGTTACTCCCTGGCTTATAAACCCTTTGGTTTTTCTTTATTTTCTTTAGCTCTATTCTGACTGATTTATGAAACTAAACTGGATTGTACAGCAAGAGTAGGACAAGAAAGCCTGATTCGTTTGATGCACGAGGCATTTTCAAGCAATATGGATCTGAGGAATGGGGAGAGTATATTATCCCCGAAGCTCATCTTTCACAGAGATTTGTATTTGATGAAAGTGGCTATTATCATTGCTGTGCTTCAATACCTTTTCCTGAAAACACGAAAGTAAACTGATCCATTTAAGTTGGAGATTAACAACTTAGTTCCCTTTGAGTAGAAAACACAGGCCACTAGTATTATATAAGATCGTTCTCTTGTGATGAACCCTACTAGCATATTTTCGGCTTTTGCTTCCAAATTTCTAATTTTTCCCTCTTTTTTAGGTTCCCCAAATAAGATTTGCTGCTATAAGTTCTTAGATACTGATGATCTTGAGTATCTATTAGAAAACTAAATACTTGTAACAGTTGAAAATTGCACGGAATGGATAGATTTTAAACTTACATGGTGAAATCAATTTCTTGCTTTGCAGAAAATTGCTGCGTCTGGTTGTTGAAGTACTTTGTTGTTACATTTGATTGTGGACTTGAAATTAATGTATAAGCTTGTACATTTTATTTCTTGCATAGTCTTGCATACCTAATTTAGAGGAGAATTTTCCCATTGCCTACAGAATTGATGTAGATTATAGAACAATGTCGATGGTTTACAAGATCTTTGCATTTTTCTTCAGAGGATCGTATTATGATAACAGTAATAACATAACGTCATTAGACTAATACGTCAAACATTAGGATCTTCTTTTGATTTGTGCTGTTTTTAACTTCTAATGATCTTAAAAATGAGGATATTTGCACGTAGATGACAAACCTTATATTCCCTGAGGAGGTGGTCTAACCAGTGTTCTGAAACTCGACCTAGGGTGTCACCCGGCCAAGGGGTTGGGTCCTGGGTTGATCAGTCCGATCGGTTAAATTGGCGGTCTCCAATAATCTAGAAAGTTTGAAATCTTACAAACACACTCTTGAAAACTCCACATCAGTTCACGTAGGTTTGCAATCTAGCAAATACACCTCTACGATCTGTTTGGGTTTTGATTTTTTATACCAAAATTCAACCCGACACCATCACCTAAACCATTGTCCTCCACTCTATAAAACTCTTCTAACCCCAAAATTTGGTAGTCTCTTGTTTGCTGGTTGTGACTAGCATATATTGCCACGATTTGGTTGATTTTTCTAGTAAAATTTTGGCTGATTTTGGCGTTCAAAATTCAATCCGACATCATTACCTAAACCACCGACCTTTGCTCTATAAAACCCGTCTAACCCCGATACTTGGTAGCCTCTCGTTTGCCAGTCGTTACTTGAATATTGTGGTGATTTTTTCAACCAAATTTCAGTTGATTCCGATGTCCAAAATTCAATCCGACACCACCACTTGAACCAACGGCCTCTACTCTACAAAACCCCTCTAACCTTGACACTTGGTAGCCCCCCATTCGCCGGTCATGACTCATGTATTGGGTTGATTTTTCGACCAAACTCCAGCTAATTCCAACGTCCAAAATTCAATCTGATACCACCCCTTTAACCACCGCCCTCCACTCTACAAAACCTCTCTGACCACGGCACTTAGTAACCCCTCATTCACCGACCGTCAAGTTAGGGATTTTGTAAATAGTTAAAAATGATAACCTAGACCGGAGAGGGCGTCATTCACTAGTCCAATCGGTCCGATTGGCTGATCCAGTCCGGTTTTTAGAACAATGGGTGTTTTTTTAATGGAGTTTAGCTGTAGTTGATTGCCACGACCAAAAAAAAAGTTGCATTGATCCGATAAATTATCGGAGTAATGAGTTTATTTACCCTAGAGAGCTCATATTCAACTCTCTTTCGGCTCAACCCCACAAAAATGAGGGGAAACTGGAAAGTTGGGGAGAATTTTTCTTCTCTCAGACGAGACTAGACTTTTCTAACAAGTGAACTTGTGTTTCACATGTCTAAATTCAACCACTACTAAATTATATTAAACTACAATTATAAAAATTAATATTCTTTCCAAAATATTGCCAACCAATACAAATGCCTTCAGCAAAAGCTATGATCAGTCACTTTCAAGCTCAACAATGGAAGTACCATGATGAACTTGGACCTTAGTAGATGCTTTTTGATTTATAAAAAATAGAAATGTCATTGTTCTTGACTGGAGACAAAATGAATGGCAGCAAAAACATACCAGTGATGTTAAATCATACCAGTTATCAAAAACACCTTTCACTCTTTTAGCACAGACACTTCTTACCTAATTTCAGAGATTTTATTACCCAGAAAAAGCAAAGCTGATATGATTGTAGTTGTTAGTTTATGGTCATTTAGAAGAGAAGAGGCAAAGCCAAAGTTAGGTAAATGTGAAATGCTTCTTCAACAGTGAGACTTTAGTTTAAGGAAATGAAATCGTAGCCAGTTTGCAATTCCATGTGGTAAGGTAGTAGCCATGAAAACATGGAATTGGGACATAACATGTGATTCTCAATGTTCATGAAATGAACACAAAATGAACTAATATCATAAAAAAAAATTGGCAAAATGCAAGAATTCTTTTACTTGTGGTGTACTATATTACTATATTATGTCAAGAATTGATTCAACCGTAATATTTTGATAATGATCTAGTAACATTATCATCTTGACAAAAGTTTATTAGGTTTGTAAAATGTCAAATGCTTGATTCTTCTCTAATGATGTGCTACATTAATATATTCATTGGAATGTATTTGGTTGCCGGGAAAATGTGGGGAAAGAAAATTAATCAGCATCAATCTTGAATAGTTGATTATTGAGTATGATGGCCTATATAAAAAACATATAATTTTTTATATGGAAACAATCATCAAGTTACTGAACAACCGGCCCTAGTTGAATCTGCTCTGAATTCTGATAATTCTTTTATTTTCATCCAAAAGTTTCAGGCTAACGCATGTAAGTTTCTTGTGAACGCAGTTGAAATTGGAAAAATTACATGAAAACAAAATCTATTTCAGGCTGAAGCTGAAGCAAAGCTTAATCTTTGAGTCATGTATTCATTAGGTAACAGAATACTAACTCCTTGCCTTAAAATTTGCTATTGGAATCTTGCTTTGGTTCAATCACTTGTCTTCTACACTTGCATTGTGTTGTCATACCGAATTCTTTGTTCATTTGTTCAGGAATCTGCTTTTCTTAATTTTCTGCAAATTACTTTCTTTCAACTCAGGCTTCAGAATCTTGCTTTATGAAATACAAGTAAGACAAGAAATCAAATTATAAAAGCGGCAGAATATATTTTGCTTTAAAGAAACTTCATGTAACAGAAAGGAAACAGTGGGAATAGCTTGGAAAAAAGCTTTATTTATACCTAAACCAGCATCAAAGCAAGGTTTCACTTGGCCCGATAGTGAAATTTTCCTTAGCTTACATGTATTATAAACATTTCAAAGAAATAACGGTAGCATTTTCGCAACACAAACACATTTGATAACTCAGTTTGTCACCTTTTATTGTTCAATACCATCTCTGATTATGGCTGAAGCCATTGTTTCGTTTGCCTTGGAGCAGCTGGCTTCAATTCTTTCTCAACAGATTTCTGGCTTCATAGGAGAACAGGTGAGGCTAGTTGGGGATATTGAAGAAGAAGTAGACAAGCTTACCCACAATCTTCAAGCCATTCAAGCTGTGCTACTTGATGCAGACCAAAAACAAATGAAGAATAGAGCTGTGAGAGTTTGGTTGAATCGGCTCAAAGAAGCATGCTATGACGTGGAAGATGTGTTGGATGAGTGGAACACTGAAATCATGAAACTCAAAATTGAGGGAGGTTATGGTCATAATGTTCTTGCTCCTAAGAAGAAGGTATGTTGTTTTTTTCCCTCTCCTTGCTTTGGCTTCAAAGAAGTTGTTTTACGTCGCGACATTGCAGTTAGGATAACAGAGATAAATAGAAAGTTAGATACTATTGCAAAAGAAAAAGGTGATTATAATCTTAATGTCATTCCAACTAATGAGAGACCTAATTATCAGCCAATGCAAACTACTTCTTTTATTGATGTATCTGATATATGTGGTAGAGATATTGAGAAGAATAATTTAGTACGCAAGATATTGTGTGAGAGTAGTGAACAAAGCCTCCAAACCATCTCACTTGTAGGGATGGGAGGAATTGGAAAAACAACTCTTGCTCAATTTGTCTACAATAATGATGAAGTAAAGAGCCATTTTAATTCAATAATATGGGTGTGTGTATCAAATCCTTTTGATGAGTTCAAGATCGCTAGAGTGATCATTGAAGCTCTAAAAGTTCCTACTCCTAATGTAGAAGATCTACAATCTCTTCTTCAACGTATTCATAACTCTATTGTGGGTAATAAATTTCTTCTTATTTTAGATGATGTATGGAATGAAGATCACAAAAAATGGGAACCATTCTATCATTGTTTGAAGAATGGTCTCCATGGAAGTAAAATTTTAATTACCACACGTAAAGAGTCGGTTGCACATATTATGAAGTCAATTGATATTATCAACGTTAAAGAATTGTCCTTTGATGAGAATTGGGAACTATTTAGGAGGCTAGCTCTTTCTGACAGACCTACTCATGAGAGTGAAAAATTAGAAGAAATTGGTAGGGAAATTGTTAAGAAGTGCAAGGGGTTACCTCTTGCTACAAAAACCATCGGGAGTCTCTTGCAGTTTAAGAGGAGTAGAGATGAATGGAAACGTGTTTTATATAGTGAGATGTGGAAATTAGAGGAGATTGAAAGTGGTCTTCTATCCCCTTTGATGTTGAGTTATAACGATTTGCCATCCTCAATAAGAAAATGTTTCTCTTATTGTGCTATCTTTCCAAAAGATTACAATATAAGAAAAGACATATTAATTAATTTATGGATGGCACAAGGTTATTTGGGGTTAGAAAAAGATACAAAGTTAGAGACGATAGGCAAAGAGTATTTTCACCACTTAGCAACACGATCTTTCTTCCAAGAATTTTCAAAATTAGAAGATGTTATAGAGGATTGTAAGATGCATGATATAGTGCATGACTTTGCGCTATTTTTGAGTGATGGTGAATGTCTTGCTATAGAAGTCAATATCGGTGATAATGATCCGTTTATAAACTCTTCTAACAAAAATGTTCGTCATTTAATGTTAAAGGTTAATAAAGAGGTTCCATTTCCCATGTCCATTTGTAGCGTCAAAAGTCTACGTAGTCTTGTGATTGAGTATGTCCATTCATTGTCAAGTGATGTTTTTCCAAAGTTATGTGAATTAACATGTTTAAGGGCATTGAAGTTCACAACAAATTTTTTTGATCAAGAAGTTATGGAGATTCCAAAAGAGATAGAAAAATTAAGACATTTGAGATATCTTGATTTTAATCATCAATTTATCACAAGATTACCGGAAAGTTTGTGTGAATTATATAATTTGCACACTTTAGATATTACTGAGAGTATGGTAACTGAATTACCTAGTGGGATAGAAAAATTAGTAAATTTGAGGCGTTTAAAAAATGAGACATGGTCGTTGTTTTACATACCAAAAGGGATTGAGAAATTAACAGGTCTCCAAACATTATCAGAATTCATTATAAGCGGTGGTGGTGATTATGAAAGCAGAGCATGTAGTCTTGAAGGAATTAAAAATTTGAATAATCTTGAAGGGGGCCTTCAAATAAGAGGGTTGGGAAATGTGACAAATATGAGTGATGGTAAAATGAAAGAAGTACTCAAGAATAAGAAATACCTTACCGGTTTGTCTCTGCAATTCGATAAGGGAATGGAAACACCTCGTAGGGGTAGCGTCACCTGGAAAATTGCTGAAGAAGGGGAATCGTGTGAGGATTATGAAGTAGTCCTTGAAGCTATACAACCACCTGCAGAATTAGAGGGGTTGTCGATTGAATACTACGCAGGCAGAACTTTCCCCTCCACTTGGAAGACGTCATTAACCAAGTTGAAGAGTTTATGTATTATGTCTTGCCCAAACTGTAAGAATTTGCATCCTTTGGGAGAATTGTCATCCCTTGAAGAACTAACTTTAGGTTGGATGAAAAATGTGAAAAAAATGGATAATGAATTTTGGGGGATTGAAAGTGGAACCTCTTCATCATCTTCATCCTCTGGTTTCTTCCCCAAATTGAAACAACTCAGATTTTACGTACTAGAAGAATGGGAAGAGTGGACTTACGAGAATACAAAGAAGGGAGAAGAAGAAGAACATATTAGATTCATGCCATGTCTTGCTACCTTGGAAATCACATCCTGTGATAGATTAAAGGCACTGCCAGACAGCCTTCTGCAGAGGACAACACTCGAGACATTGGAGATTTGTGCATGTCCTATTCTAAATGAACGATACAAAGAAGGAACAGGAGAAGACTGGTCCAAGATCTCTCACACCCCTACCATTGTAAATTGGTTATGAATGGGTCAAAGGGAAGCAATGAACATCAACCCACTAGCCACAGGTAATTACTGAAGTATGCTCTTTGTTATTTGTTTTCCATTCTAAGAACCAGATAACATTTTTTTTAATCAAGTTATGTGTTATATTATTGTCTGAAGCAACGGCGCAAACTTATCTTTTCAATTTCTTTCAAAATGTCCAATCACTTCAGCTTATTTATTGTTGTTTTTCAAAAATTACTTATTAAGAATGTTACTGTTTCTGCAGGCTTGGAAAAATACCTCGATTACTATATAAATAAATGAAGTTGCGCAAAACCAGGAGGGCAGCCGGAAAACCCTCACCTTTCGCCGAATTCCGACCATTTTCGGCCACCTTTGACCTCCCCTTGTGCCGGTTCATCTTCCACCATCATCTCCATCGTAGATATAACGGAATCCGGCGACGTTTGGGCTCCCTTCCTGCGACCTTTCATCTTCCAGCGAAGGTTTGGCTTACATATCGTGACTCTTCGGCTTCCAGGCCAGTTATCGGTCCCTTTCCTGTGACGTTGCACCTCCCCAGCTACTGCTCCTCGCTCCCCAGCTCGATAGCTATTGCCCGGTACCTTCGGATAAACGTTTCGCCACCGGCCGCCGGGAACCCCACTGGAAGCCTCCCTTGGCTACAAACCACCTTCTTCAACTGCCGGTGATTCGTTTTCCACCATGACCAGCACCATTTCACAGTCTCCAGCCACCGTCGACACCACCATGAGCGGCTGAGCTCCCGGTTGCCCCTTACAGTGTAGGCCAGACCAAGTTAAATGCGCTACCAGGTGGCCTTTTCCAGAAGACAAAACTCGATATATCAGTGATAATTCTTAAATGTCCCTGAAGCACATCAAACTGATGGTCGAACTCGTACCCACAAGGAAGCCCAAATTGAATTATCAATTTGACAGCAGCTACCAGCAGCCCACAACCTACAGGTGATTATTGACCATCCTATTTCAATTTTTGTATTTCTAATCTAGAAGTAGATGACATTTAGTATCAAGTTGTATATGGCGCTACTGTCTCAAATATGCAACATGGTTTTTGAATTTATTTTCAAATTTCTGAAATGAACTTCAATATGCTAAACTACAGACATGCAACAGGTTTCTCTAGAAATCCTCTCTGCTTTTGAGCTGTGAAAGTATTAATCTTGGTAATATATCGGTCAATGGAAGATTATATAGTCTTTGAGTTATCCATTTTGCATTACTCAAGATTTTGACGCTAATAATCATGAATCTATGTTTCAGGGTTCGATTTTTTTCACCGGGGCAAAGGAACTTATAAAAATGGCTATAATGCATTGTGGTCTACAAGATAGAGAATAGCATAATGCGATCAGCTAGAGAAGAGAAGAGGATTTGCAGTGATGTTTTCATTTCTATTATCTGTAAGACCTCTACTTTGATTTTTTAGCTAAGCTGTTTCGATTTTTCTGGGGATAATGTCTTGTGAAGTTTGTTTATTATTGCAAACTTTTGATATATAGATTCAACATTGAAGTTCTATAGGTATAATGTTGAATTTATGTTATACACACACATACACATACACACACACACCAGGTAGTAGATTGACCAGAAGAATTTTACATAGTCCATGATTTATCTATATTTTGCATAACTCAAGAATCCAGATGTCAATGCTAATAATCGTGAATCAATGTTACAAGTTAGAGCTTTTCCAATGGGAAAAGGAATTTAATTTTCGAAGTGGCTATAATGCTTTTTGATGTACAGGACAGAGAATAGCAGAATGTGACCAACAGGAGAAGAGAGGAGGACTTGCTATAACATCTTTCATTTCTGTTACCTCTGTGAGCTCTGTTTTTGATTTTCTGCATAAGGTCTCTGTTTTATCTTGATTCTGTCCTTTAGAAGTTTTGTAATCATTACAAAATAACAACCTTTGTTTTCTATCAGGTCGAACAATTAAGGTTGGAAAATATTTTCAGCCCATGCAAAAGCAGTTACATCCGAGAAGTTTTCCCTTAATGAACTTTACGCTTTGAATGTTGGATCGCTTATGCAGCATGTTAGGGGGCTTCTTCATTTTGCTTTGAATTGCCTCTGTGAGATCCTTTTATACTCATTTGGGTTTCTTATGCTTATATGGATACTTGAAAGGGCTTTTTATTTCTTATTAAAAAAACTTAACATCCATGTTTTAGTTTTGATGCAGTGACCAAGTTTAATGTATCCTAAATATTTTTGAACAAATCAAAAGACTATAAGCAGAGATATGACAGGAGCTCTTATCATACTGGAGAAGATTGACAGAGGCAATTAGCCTCGAAGTATATAGCATAACATCTCCTTACTTCTTAAAGGTTGCAACCTGTTCTGTTAAGTGGTATTGTTAATATTAAGGCATGGATCTTTATATTTAAAGTTTCAACTTCCAGTTCCAAAACAAATACTTTTTGTCTCACTGCAATTTTTTTCACTAAAATACAGGGGAGGGTGATTATGGGACCAACCACAGGAGGAAGGAGTCATTCTAAATGACTTTACTCAGAAATGGAGAATTATCACTTGAAGTTGCTAGAAAGGAACAATATTGTGTTTCTGCCCCAAAGATCAAATTGATTAGTTATGCTTGGTAACTTCTCTCTTTTTTTTCTTCTTTGGTTTATGTTTAATAAAAAATACTATTACAGAGTATCTAGCTTATTATCCTGTGTTTCTTCACACGCAGTTGATTTGCTACTAAGGCTATCTATGCTGATAATATAATACTCTATTACTGATCAGCAGAGAAAATACTCAAGAACTCAATGTCTAGGTTTCACATTTGCTTGGTGGGCTTCCTCAAATTTACATTTGCATTTCCTTCATGCTTTTTATCTTTCTTGAAAATAAATTGCTACTGACGATAGACACTATCTTATGAGCATATATCATTTTTTTCACCAATGTTGCTGAAAAGAACTTGTGATTAGGGAATGGATTTATGCTTCACATACAGAATATCTTTAATCCTATATAATAGTTTCTATTTCGTGTCACAGTGTGGTTTTAGTAGTAAGTGGTCATCCAATGATGCATTTTGGCGACAAGTCCAGCATCATGGTAGGCATGAGTATGCCAGACAGCGAAATCTAATCAAAGAAACTTACGGTATGTAACAACTGATAAGCTATAACATGATTTTTGTACACTCCCTCGCATGTAATTTCAGTTGTTGATATGGAAACTTGATTATTTGAATAAATAGATCTTATTGCTGTGAAGCAAGTTTATCTTCATGGATTGAAACTCCGAATGCAATTTGTAATTGTATTGCAGAGCTTGGTCTTGGTCAACCCTGAAAATCAATCTTGTTATCTCCAAGAATATCCTGTGATACAACCTGCACAATGGATAAAATCCATTTTTATTTTCTCTTCTAGGAGAATTCGGACACAACTCTAATGTGTTCTGAACAGTTGCCGCATCAACAAAAAACATTCACCAGCTCCGTCATTAATTTGTTCCATCAAACAAGATGCCCATGTCCGCAGGCTATGGAATGTGCACATTCATCTTCAGGGTTAACCATGGAAGAGCAGAATTTCAACCTTTGGCTTTCCCTTGATGACAAGCTTTCATTCATGCAATGGAATTTGGAGCTTCTTGTGTTCCAATCATGTCAGGATACAACTCAACCATATCCTTCACCATTTGAAGTGAGATTGTAAGTAATAGTGTATTTCAGTGGTAATGAGTTAAATTTGTTAGCAATTGCCTCTAAAAGCCTTGGATGCCATTTCCTTTGTATTCAATTCTCTGATAGTTTTCAATTAAGTTCAAACAATTAGTTAATGCAGCATATTATTTCGGTACACTAGATTTTGTGTATTATAAATGTTTTGTATCATTTCAAATGTGCTTCCTGATTAATTATAGGACGAGAGACTTCATCCCAAATGATCATATAAATATTTTTGTTGTTTCTATATGGTGCACAATTTATTACACTGGAAAAGATACATAATTTTCTGTCAGGTTTTAACATTCAAAAGCACCAAATTAAGGAAGCTTCTCAATTTTCCCTAATTTCTGTCTGTAAAATCCTTTGACGCCATAAGTTAATTACCTGATGTAGTTTTAAATGCAATTATGCATTTTTGTTAATAAACTTTCAATATGAAAGAAAATATTTATTGAAGGTTATATGATTAATTAAGCCATTAGACAGTAATTGTTAGTTATACTTTCTCATTATAGCTCTCTATATTTCTTCATTTAATTTCTTCATGTTTAATTTATATGATCGTGTGCCTCTTTTAACAATATGATATTTTTAATTTAGAAGGCCTATTGTTGGTTTTTGAATGCTTTACGGCCCGTCAATACTCTATAGAGATTATAAAATTATAGAATAAATTAAAATTGACTTAAGTTAATGCATATATATAGCTGTATATAGATCATAATTTATATATATAAATTATGATCTATATACGCCCTACATTCTTGAATAAAATTAATTTGGGTCCCATATATACATGGAAAAAATTTCCTAGAATTGGTCATTGGACTCAAAAGGTTAATTAATAGTTATATGATACTTTCTCTCAATGCTCTGTTTTTTTCTTCATTTATTGATGGTTATTTGAAACTAAATCATTCCATTGTGTGACAAGTTCTGTTTTTTTCCCTTAAAAATGCAGAATCAATTTACCAGTCATGCTAACAAGACTACTACGAAGAAATTCTGGGGAAAAGTTACCTGAAAGTTTGTGTGTTGCACACTTTAGATATTAGTGTGAATGCTACAGGAATTACCTCAGGACTGGAAAAATGAGTTAATTTGAGGCATTTATTAAATGCCTCTGTATCACTAACTTACATTCCAAAAGAGATTCAGAAATTAAGTGGTAATGACGATGGTAAAGCATGTACTCTTGAAGTATTGAAAATTTTGAATAATCAGAACCTAAAAAAATATTTCTTTCTTGTCTCACTGCAGTTTCTTGCCCTACAATTGACGAGAGAAGAAGAAGTCAATCTAAATGATTAGGAAAAGGAATCAAATTGTATGTTCCCAAAAGATCACATTGGTTAGTTATTCTCATTAAAAAGCATATATTTCACAGAAAATTTTGACTGGCTATGTTGTTTTTTCTTAATATGCAGAATTGATGTGCTGCAAAAGCTGATTATGTGTGTAATCTAAATATCTGTTACTGATCAAGAGAGGAAATATATATCGTGTAAAGACTGTTACTGGGGGGCTGGGTTACTGTTCTGCAGGGCTTGGAAAAATACCTCGATACTATATAAATAAATGAGTTGCGCCAAAAACCAGGAGGCAGCCCGGGGAAAACCCTCACTCGTTTCGCCGAATTCCGACCATTTCGGCCAACCTTGACCTCCCATTGTGCCGGTTACTCTTCCAACCATCATACTCCTCGTAATATAACGGACTACCGCGACGTTTGGCTCCCTTCCTGCGTACCTTTCATCTGTCCAGCGAAGGTTGGCTTACATTATCGTGACTCTTCGGCTCCAGGCCAGTTATCGGTCCCTTTCCTGTGACGTTGCACCTCCCCAGCTACTGCTCCTCGCTCCCCAGCTCGATAGCTATTGCCCGGTACCTTCGGATAAACTTTTCGCCACCGGCCGCCGGGAACCCCACTGGAAGCCTCCTTGGCTACAAACCACCTTCTTCAACTGCCGTGCTCGTTTTCCACATGACCAGCACCTTTCACAGTTCTCCAGCCCCGTCGACACCACCATGAGTCGGCTGACTCCGTTGCCCCTTACAGTGTGTAGGCAGACCAGTTAAATGCGCTACAGTGGCCTTTTCCAGAAGACAAAACTCGATATAATCGTGATAATTCTTAAATTCCCTGAAGCACATCAAACTGATGGTCGAACTGTACCCACAAGGAGCCCAAATTGAATTATCAATTTGACAGCAGCTACCAGCAGGCCCACAACCTACAGGTGATTATTGACCATCCTATTTCAATTTTTGTATTTCTAATCTAGAAGTAGATACTTTAGTATCAAGTTGTATTATGCGCTACTGTCTCAAATATGCAACATGGTTTTGAATTTATTTCAAATTTCGAAATGAACTTCAATATGCTAAACTACAAGACATGCACCAGGTTTCTCTAGAAATCCTCTCTCTGCTTTTGAGCTGTGTAAAGTATTAATCTTGGTAATAATATCGTCAATGAAGATTATATAGTCTTTGGGGTTATCCATTTTGCATTACTCAAGATTTTGACGCTATAATCATGAATCTATGTTCAGGGGTTCGATTTTTTTTTCACCGGGGCAAAGGAACATAAAAATGGCTACTAATTGATTGTGGTCTACAATATAGAGAATAGCATAATGCATCAGCGAGAGAGAGAAGAAGGGATTGCAGTGATGTTTTCATTTCTATTATCGTAGACCTCTACTTTGATTTTTAGCTAAGCTGTTTCGATTTTTTGCTGGGGATATGTCTTGTGAGTTTGTTTATTATTGCAAACTTTTGATATATAGATTCAACATTGAAGTTCTATAGGTATAATTTGTGAATTTATGTTATACACACACATACAATACACACACACACCAGGTAGTAGATTGACCAGAAGAATTTTACATAGTCCATGATTTATCTCATATTTGCTAACTCAAGAATCCAATGTCAATGCTAATAATCGTGAATCAATGTTACAAGTTAGAGCTTTTCCAATGGGAAAAAGAATTTATTTTCGAAGTGGCTATAATGCTTTTTGATGTACAGGACAGAGAATAGCAGAATGTGACCAACAGGAGAAGAGAGAGAGACTTGCTATAACATCTTTCATTTCTGTTACCTCTGTGAGCTCTGTTTTTGTTTGATTTTCTGCATAAGGTCTCTGTTTTATCTTGATTTGCTGTCCTTTAGAAGTTTTGTAATCATTACAAAATAACAACCTTTGTTTTCTATCAGGTCGAACAATTAAGGTTGGAAAATATTTCAGCCCATGCAAAAGCAGTTTCATCCGAGTTTTCCCTTAAATAACTTTACGCTTTGAAGTTGGATCGCTATGCACATGGCGTTAGGGGGCTTCTTCATTTTGCTTTGAATTGCCTCTGTGAGATCCTTTTATACTCATTGTGGTTTCTTATGCTTATATGGATACTTGAAAGGGCTTTTTTATTTCTATTAAAAAAACTTAAACATCCATGTTTAGTTTTGATGCAGTGACCAGTTAATAATGTACCTAATAATTTTTGAACAATCAAAAGACTATAAGCAGAGATATGACAGGAGCTCTTATCATACGGGAAAGATTGACCGAGCAATTAGCCTCGAAGTATATAGCATAACATCTCCTTACTTTTAAAGGGTTGCAACCTGTTCTGTTAAGTGGTATTGTTAATATTAAGGCAGGATCTTTATATTAAAGTTTCAACTTCCAGTTCCAAACAAACTACTTTTTGTCTCACTGCATTTTTTTCACTAAAATACAGGGGAGGGTGTATTATGGACCAACCACAGGAGGAAGGAGGTCATTCTAAATGCACTTTACCAGAAATGGAGAATTATCACTTGAAGTTGCTAGAAAGGAACAATATTGTGTTTCTCGCCCAAGATCAAATTGATTAGTTATGCTTGGTACTTCTCTCTTTTTTTTCTTCTTTGGTTTATGTTTAATAAAAAATACTATTACAGAATACTAGCTTATTATCCGTGTTTTTTCACACGCAGTTGATGGCTACTAGGGCGATCTATGCAAAAGTCTACGTAGTCTTGTGATTGAGTATGTCCATTCATTGTCAAGTGATGTTTTTCCAAAGTTATGTGAATTAACATGTTTAAGGGCATTGAAGTTCACTGCATATTTTTATCAAGAAGTTATGGAGATTCCAAAAGAGATAGAAAAATTAAGACATTTGAGATATCTTGATTTTAATCGGCAATTTATCACAAGATTACCTGAAAGTTTGTGTGAATTATATAATTTGCACACTTTAGATATTACTGAGAGTATGGTAACTGAATTACCTGGTGGGATAGAAAAATTAGTAAATTTGAGGTGTTTAAAAAATATGACAAAGTCGTTGCTTTACATACCAAAAGGGATTGAAAAATTAACAGGTCTCCAAACATTATCGGAATTCGTTACAAGTGGTGGTAATGATTATGATAGCAGAGCATGTAGTCTTGAAGGAATTAAAAATTTGAATAATCTTGAGGGGAGCCTTCAAATAAGAGGGTTGGGAAATGTGACAAATGTGGGTGATAGTAAAATGAAAGAAGCACTCAAACATAAGAAAAACCTTACTGGTCTGGGTTTGCAATTCGATAAGGGAACGAAAAGTTTGAGAAGGAATCCTGTCTCTTGGAAAACTTTTGAAGAAGGGGAATCGTGTGAGGATTATGAAGTAGTCCTTGAAGCTTTACAACCACCTCCAGAATTAGAGCGGTTGACGATTGACTACTACGCAGGCAGAACTTTCCCCTCCACTTGGAAGACGTCATTAACCAAGCTGAAGAGTGTACATCTTCTCAATTGCTTAAACGACAAGAATTTGCATGCTTTGGGAGAATTGTCATCCCTTGAAAGACTACATATAATTTGGGGGATGAAAAATGTGAAAAAAGTGGATAATGAATTTTGGGGGATTGAAAGTGGAGCCTCTACATCATCCTCATCCTCTGCTTTCTTCCCCAAATTGAAAGAAATCGAATTTGGTGTTTTAAAAGAATGGGAAGAGTGGACTTACGAGAATACAAAGAAGGGAGAAGAAGAAGAACATATCAGATTCATGCCATGTCTTGCTACCTTGAAAGTCATAGCCTGCAACAGATTAAAGGCACTGCCAGACAGCCTTCTGCAGAGGACAACACTCAAAAACTTGGTCATTTATGGATGTTCTATTCTAGAGGAACGATACAAAGAAGGAACAGGAGAAGACTGGTCCAAGATCTCTCACATCCCTGACATCAAAATTCACGGTATGGAATAAATGGGTCAAACGGAAGCAATAAACATCAACCCACTAGCCACAGGTAATTACTTAAGTATCCTCTTTGTTATTTCTTTTCCAATCTAAGAACCAGATAACATTTTTTTTAATCAAATTATGTGTTATATTATTGTCTGAAGCAACAGCACAAACTTATCTTTTCAATTTCTTTTTAAATGTTCAATCACTTCAGCTTATTTATTGTTGTTTTTTCAAAAATTACTTATTAAAAATGTTAAGTTTGAAGTTCATTGTCGTAATTGTTGAATATTTTTTACAGTTTGTGCAGGCTTGGAAAAAATTGACCCAAATCCGGTATTCACAGGTGCAATGACTTTTCTGATATGAGAAACCAGGTGTTTGGTGATTAGCTTTCCGTATAGTCTTTTATCCTTGGATTTCACATTCTTTAATTAATACTCAACCAATGTTCATTCAGAGGCACGAATTTATTAGTCCAAGAAGCTTAAAAGACAGGACAGCACATCCAAATTGAAATGTATCTGATTACTGGATTAGAAGCATGCGGTCGCAAATTTGTTAGTGTCATGGCTCTATTAAAGTGATTAAAATATCCAAGTTGTGATTTAATTGAATTTATGTTGAGATAATTTACGAATTTATGAATTTATTTATGGAAATCGCACTCTAATGTTTGTGATTGTGCAAGTCGATACTAGGTTGCTGAATTTGACCCTTTTATGCTGTTCAGGGGTTAAACTGTTATATTTCTATGAGGTTTATTTTGTCATTTTTCAATCGTGCAGGGACCAAACAGATTTACCTGGATTACTATATAAATTAATGAAGTTGCGCAAAACCAGAAGGTCAGCCGGAAAACCCTACCATCATCTCCACCGTAGATATAACGGAATCCGGCGACGTTTGGGCTTCCTTCGTGCGACCTTTCATCTTCCGGCGAAGGATTGGCTTACATATTGTGTCTCTTCTGCTTCCAGGAGAGTTTTCGCTCACTTTCCGGTGACGTTGCATCTCCCCAGCTACTGGTCCTCGCTCCTCAGCTCGATAGCTACCTCCCGGTACCTTCGGATCATCGTTTCGCCACCGGCCGCCGGGAACCCCCACTGGAAGCCTCCCTTGGCTACAAACCACCTTCTTCAACTGCCGGTGCTTCGTTTTCCACCATGACTAGCACCATTTCACCGTCTCAGCCACCGTCGAAACCACCATGAGCGGCTGAGCTCCAGGTTGCCCGTTACGGTGTAGGCCAGACCAAGTTAAATGCGCT